GTCGAAATATTGAGTATCCAATGGATGTTTCTAAGAAAAAAATTAAATACCCTTTGGTATCAAATAATCCAATACGTTTTTATCAGGACACAACTCACCACAAGTGGCTTGAAGGGCGGCGGTAACTGCCGCTTCTCCAACAAATCCCAGTCTATGGGTCTGAAGAATATGTGTTCGCTGATGTCGCCAGCAGGGCTGTACTGAGATCCAATGCGCCTGGTGTAATCTTTTTCGAGTAGCTATCAAGACAATGGATCCTTAGCCTATGAAAATATATTAAGGTTTGATATGGAGGACTTACCCCTCTCAAAATGCCGGTGGCCTCTGCGGATATGTAAACGGGGAACCATGGAATCTCATTGCAGATCGACCAGAATAGTTCATCTTCATCGCAGCCGCTGAATGGCGATTGACCAATCAACATTTCATAGAGCAAAACACCAAATGACCACCAATCGACATTTTGATTGTATTTCTCGCCCTGGGCGTGGAAGATGAAGGTGAATAAAGAGATTGCTTGTATAATTTGTAAATTTACCTTTATGATTTCAGGCGCCATGTAGTCTGGTGTTCCGCAAAAGCTGTCCGCTGTTTTGTCGAGGTAGATCTGCAATTTGCACATACCGAAATCGGCAATTCGGACATGCCCTTCGTAATCCAGCAGCACATTGTCCAGCTTAAGATCTCTGCAGAATTGGAGGAGAGGTTTGAAAACATACGCACATACTAAGTTGAACTGACGTTTTACCTGTATATGATGCCTTTCTTGTGTAGGAACTTCAGACCGGATATTATTTCGGCACCGTAGAATCGAGCGCGTTCTTCCGGGAAACGTCCACTCTCCTGTATGTGGAACATTAAATCTCCACCGTTGAGGTATTCCATAACGAAGAACAAATGGCTCTAAAAAAAATTGAAGCAAGCAAATATAGGAAACATTAATATAAGAGGTCTTAACTGGATGGGCTGAGGTTTAGGTTATAGCCAACCAACCCTAATTGAAATCTATAAACTTAAATCAGTTAACGAAGCAATGCGATTCTCAATTACTGCCAAGCAGGACAAAAACTCTTGTCGCAATCTGTTAATAAACAAAAAATATGGACTTAGTGGCGCTACCAAGTGAGCCCAAGTGAGCCAGATTGGCCACACAGTAACACAGGTAGCAGAATGCAAGCCGATGATTTTGACATTGTTTTTTTTTGAAGAAAAAACAAAAGGCATACATATATGTACATACATACATACATATGTAAGTATATGTATCTATAGCTGGTACATCCCGCCGAGGAGTTCGAACAGATTGCCACCAAGAAATACATACCCGGCCCTTTAGGGTGTGGAGCTCTTCGATACAGATGTCTATGCAGTTTTCATACAGCCATTTCAAACTAGCGTTGAAAGCATCCAACTCGGAATCCGGTGGTCGTAGAGGAAGAGAGAGGCGATGGCAAGACGAAGTGGAAAAGGACTCGGCTTTCCTAGGAAGTTCCAGGCCAATTGATGTCTGTTGGCACAGAAAAGAAACGACTGGCGTGCTTTGTTGAACTCAGCCAAA